ATCAGAAACTCAGCAAAAGTTGCTTTTATGCCTCTATTTTGTTCCTGTGTGGCAGTTTCCAGGTAAGTTTTGCAACTTTCAGAAAGCTGTTAGAGAAGATTGTCCATAGACAAGGGAATCTGTCCCTCATGTGAATTCCCTCTCCCCAGGCTGCCAAGACTGGCATTCTCTGTTGGAATATATAAATAGACATTTCAGTGTCTTTATCACAAACTTAGTGGAAAATCAGAGTTTGGGAATAAGGGACAGCCCAGAATTAAATCTCCTTTCATCCCAACCTAGTCTACCCTTCTGTCCCATCACGTTCAAGGATATTGTACATTGATGCACCATTTACATAGTGAAACACTGGAAACAACTTCATTGTCCTACAACAGGGGAAAGATAAATGGTAATAATTAGTGTTCCTTGAGCTAATGTGTTTGGCATTCTTCTGAGTACATGACATATATTAATTAGTTATCAGAACTCTGAGAGATAGGAAACATTTGTATCCTCTCTTTACAACTAAGAAAATTAAGACACAAAATAATGAAATAATTGCCGTAAGGTCTTAAAACTTGTAAATTGGAGTCCAATAATTTAAACCCAGGCATTCTGGTTCTAGAACTGTGTTGTCCAGTATGGTTGCCTGTAGTCATATGTGCTATTGAGCACTTGGTTTATGGCTGGTCCAAATTAAGATGTATTGTAAGTGTAAAATACAGGGCCTCTCTGATGGCCTAGGGGTTAAGTCTTAGCACTATTACTACTATAGCCTGAGCTTAATCCCTGGCCAGGGAAGTGACCCACACAGCACAGCAGACCTCTCCAGTCTTCCCTGCTGTTTCCCTCAGCAGTGTATTTCAGTTACACTGCTCCCCATTCTGTCTTTGGTGAATCCTTTCACCACTCCAACCTCTGGCTTACACCCCAGTTCTATGCAAAGAACGCCCAAAAAGCAAGCATAACATATGTACCTGACATTGAAGACAAAGAAACAGAGATGTAAATGATTACATTAATAATTTTAAATTGACTGCCTGCTGAAATAATTTGACTATACTGGGTTACATAAAATATACTAGTAAAATTAATTTCACCCATTTCTTTTTACTTTTGAAACTATGCTTAAAAGATTTCCTCAAAAATTTTAGATTTCATAAATGGCCCACATATGTAGTTCATTCCATAGAAGTATACTTCTGTGAACGTCTATGAACAAGTTCTGTGAACTTGGAAGTGTACTTCTATACTTCCATGGAATGAGCTAGAGTATGAGTATTTAACATAACTGCTTTAAATATATTATAAAATGTTGTACAGTCACTAATAAAAATTTTCAAATAATAAATAAGAAATGGGAGCTGGTGGTGATACAGTGTTGTAAGAAAAAACTATGATAAAAAACCATACCATTGGGCCCTCCCTGGTGGTGCAGCAGGTTAAAGCACGACACCGAGAAGCTAAGGCCACTTCAGCATGAGTTCGATCCTTGCCCTGCCCTGGAGGTGACCCACATGGTGCAGCAGACCTCTCCTGCTGCTCCCCTCAGCAGTGTGCTTCATTGATCTGCCTGTTTTGCTCCCTGCTCTGTCTTGGTGAATCCTCTCACCGCCTCCGCATCTCTGGCCTGTACCCCAGCTCTGTATGCATAAATAAATAAATCTTAAAAAAATACCATTATTTAATACATAGAAACCAGTCTGGAAGAATAGAAAACTCATTAGTGGTTACTTCTAGGGAGTTTGGAGAAGAGCTAGAGGGAGTGTGAAGGCAGATTTTAACCTTTAACTTAAGGCATTTATTTATTATTAAAACGAATTTTTAAGATCACATATTTATTTATTACACATCCAGTTAAAAAAAGGCATTTTTTTTGGTGTCTGTATATTTATTTATTCATTTGGAAATTTAGAATTTTCCTTCCTTGTGACATAGATAAAAAAAGGCATTTTTAACAAGAGAAAGATATCTATCCCAAACTACATAGTGTGATCTCAGCTTTGCATATAAGAAGGGGAGAAAGACTATTAATACATAAACAAAGCAAACAAAAGTGTTGGGGAAATCGATTAGCTATTGCATTTTTCTTCTTAATCATTACTGTACCTTCCAAATCCTGTTGTATCCTTTTACTGCTTTAAAAATATTTTAAAATGGCATGTCAATACATTTCTTTTTATCTGGTCTACTATATTTTATAAAGTCAGAAATATATTCTGAGGAAAGAGCCTTAAGCTTTTCCATCCTGTCAGTTTTGACTACTCTTTATTCATACTGTTTCTCTGTCCTCCAGTGACTGCAAGAGGGCCTGGGTGTCCCCCAGAGCCCGGAATAATAAAACAGCTGAGCGCCTGTGGGTCGTCAGCTGTGAGCTTCTGGGAATCCACTGGGAGTAGAGCTCATGGAAGAGCCACAGCTTATTCAGGCTCAGTCTTTGCCATTACGAAGAGTGGCCAAATAGACGAGCAACCGTGAAGCTGGGTGTTGTGAATCCCGTCCTCTGCGTCTTCTGATCCTCCAGGAAACCTTTGCACACCCAATCTTGTAAGATTGACTCATGGCACAAGACATCAAAACTACAGAGCATTCTTCTCTAAGACTGCGGAGTTGATTACCCTCTAGGCTGGGAGGACAGGGCAGGTCCTAGTCCTGCAGGATGGTGGAAGAGCCTTGGAAATTGGGTCAATTTCCTCACCAATGCCTGAAACCGCAGCCTGCGTGCTCAGCTGAGATGACGGGAGCATCAGCATTACATATTCCCAAGAAACATAGACTCAAACTCTTGACTGATCTCTTTTTCCTTTATAAAATCCTACTTCTATCTGGACCCCCTCACAGTCTGGACTACCTCAGGATAGTCATGACTAAGCTTGGCCAAATTTCTTTCTTTCTTTTGAGCCTCCTGGAGACCCTGTGTGAAGCTGAACCTTCCTGTTTCTTTCTCACCTTCTTAAAAGAATTAAAAACATTATTTTGAGCTTTATTGAGATATAATTGACATATAATACATTTGGACCTTTTCATTCTTAATCATAAAGTTGATTTATTTCTCTAAGAGTTTCCTTTGCCTCAATTTTTACAGAAAAAAAAAAAAAAGACTATGTGCCCATCACATTGTCTTATTTATTTTCTCAAGTTTCCAAGGGAGAAATGGGGCAAGGAAGGGAAGCCAGTTTTCCAGTTTAGTGAATAATATCTCACCCAACACACATACCATATAATTTTGTAAAATAAGATTGTCCAACTGGGTATTTTCTCAACATTCTTTCAGCTCTAATATTTTGTTATCTAAGAAATGGTAAGAATGGCTTAAATTACACAGATGCTGGGCACCTCCACATTAAAGCCAGAGGTAGCACAGGACTTCATTTGATACAGAGATGCAGAAAAACTTAGTTTTGCTAATTCTTCTATCTAAAATTGCATCTCTTTCTTCCTTAATATGGGAGAGCTAGGCAGCAAATATAAAAAATACAAAGGGAAAAAATAAGTATGGGTATTGATTTTACGTGTTGTTGCTATTTTCAGAATAATTAAATCATAGTTTTTCCTCTTCTTCAGATGTTGCATCATTTCTTGTGGTCTCTGAGTGCCCCAGCTTCACTGGTGCTCAGGCTTTAGTTTGTGACTCTACAGTTTCCTGCCCAATATCATTTTCTAGTCAGTTCAGCCTGGGCAAGGAACAAGTGCTAGCTTGGACCTTTTGTTATGTCTGCAGAAAAGACCTGCCCTACTTAAGCAAGGAAAAACCTCAACCCAGCACAAATAACACTAGGAATTTAATGACTGAGTCACCCTCTGGCCTCCCTATTTGTGCTTTTTAGATTCTCCCATGACTACAGAGGTATCTTTTCATCTAGTTCACTTGTACTATGATACAGTTTCCTGCCTGGCAGTGCCCCTTAGGATGCAGGAAACAGGTTCAGGCGGGGTGGGGGTGGAGCTCAAAGGCTGTAGCCCTTGTGCATGTCCCCGGCTCTAAGTTCTTCAGCTGCCCAGTCCCTGCTGCCTTCACTATTGCTGCTTCTCTTATCTTCTCAGACCTTAAACAGATGAGGAAAATCTGAAATTGGTTGAAATGTCTTAAAAAAAAAAAAAACAACCTTTCTTTGGGAAACTAAAGGAAAAACCTATGAAGTATAGGAAAATCAAGAAGCAAACAGTTCGCGGGTATAGTTTGCTTAAGTGACCACTAACTGCCATAGATTACCTCAGCTGCCCCCTTAGCCCCTGACCACGGTTGTCCAAAGTTGAACTCAACTGAGTGCTAAGTATTTTCCTTGCCGAGTCCTGAATGTTCTGCCTTGTTTACCTGACCTCTTTTAGTTATAAGATAGATATTGGGTAAACTTAGGATAAAAACAACATCAACTCAAGAAAAGGTTGAAATTGAAAAGCATGAAAGGATAGAGATATATCTCAGAAATGATTAGAATCTAGCATCAAGCTTCACCATGATCTCTTCCCTCTAATATTTACCTTTCTCTGGATATAGATTTCATTTCAGAGTAAGGGAAGTAAGACTCTGCTGTGTTAAAAACTCTAAAGCTTCATACATTGTGGTTCTACCATTGAAGAGGTACTGCAACTATCATCTACTTTTAGTATTGCAAGAACACCAGGTTGGGCCTCTCTGGTGGCACAATGGGTTAAAGTGAAGTATTATGAAACTAGCAGCTGCTTCAGCACAAGTTCCATCCCCCACCAGGGAGGTGACCCACATGGCACAGCAGATCTCTCCTGTCTTGCCAACTGCTCCCCACTTTGTCTCTGGTGAATCCTCTCACTGCCCCTGCACCTCTGGCCTGTATCCCAGTTCTGTATGCATAAATAAATAAATCTTTAAAAATATATATAAACATCAGGTTTGACTTGGGTTAAATGCTCATTGTGAAACATTCAGGTCTGGTAATATGAAGAGTCATGTAAGACTATGACAACTGTAAAGATGGTATTTTAAATAAGTGATTAGAAAACACAGACTATTCAATAAGTGGTGTTGGAGAAATAGCTATTCAAGTGAAAACCCAAGATTCTTGACCTCACACCATTTATAACACCAACAACAAAACTATAAAAGTATTAGAAGAAAATATAGGAGAATATTTTTAAACACTTAGAAGAGAAAGGCCTGAATATGAAAGCAGAAAGCAAACAGAAAAAGAGGATCACATCTACTAAAAAATCCACTCCAATAATAAAGTCAACAGTTCAGAAATTTTGGTGAGTGCATTTGCAGTTAGGTCAGGTATCCTGGAAAATAGACTTTGACATGGGATGTTTGCACACAGGAAATTTGTTTGGAGGGCTCTTGGGGTCAACACCCATGGGGAAGAGATGGAAGTAGAACTGAGCAGAGGGTGACATTGAACGGTGGTGCAATCACAACAAAGACCTAGATGATCCTGATGCGCCAAGGAGCTCTGCAACTGAGTTACTGTGAATTCAGGAAAGGAGGTTGGCTTTTGCACTCCCACTCTGACCATTGCTAAATCTGGGAAGGGGTCATGATCTGGTGAGAGGGCTCTTTAAATGAGGGCAAGTTATAAAGACAGACTCAGTTGAGCGCTGTGAACTACAGGAATATATGCATATATATCAGACAAAGGAGTAGCACTCATATTTACATAAAGAAGTCCTTATTAAAAACAAGACATAATAACCAACAGAGTACTTGGCAAAAGATATAAACAGGAACTTTGCTGAGTAGAAAAGGTCAGTTCACCTTTGTAAAGAAGTTTAAGTTTATAGTTATCAGCGAACTACAAATTAAAATAAGGTGCCAAGGTGTTTTCCTTGATTCAAAGATCAAAAATTATAAACCTAAAATTATAGAGCTTTGTCAAAATTATAAAGCTTAGCAAATGTTGGCAAAAATCTAGGAAACTGCTATTTTTACATGTTGATAATATCATGAATCCATTACTCTCAGTAATTTTGCTTCTTAATACCTGAAAAAAGTTAGCATTAGTGTATAAGGAGACATTATTAGTACTAACAGAAGTCAACAATTGCAGATAAACAAAAATCTTTGGTTTAAGCACACACTAAAGTAATAGGCTTACTTTTAGGGTAATTACTACCAAAGTAATTGTATTAAGTAACAGTTATACACACAGACACATATTGTTGGATAAATTGATGAACTGCAGTATTATAATATTCATATTAAAAAATTACACACATAGAATATGCTACCATATTTTTTCTTGTACATATGGGTACCTATAAAGCTATGTAAAAATACACACAAATTAAAAACACATTGTACATGGCCTAAAACCATATACAATGAACACATAAGAGAGGTTTCTTCTGGGAAGGACCAAGCTCACATAATGAAGATAGTAGAAGGAAAGATGGAGAGCTTGGATTGCTGATAATAAGTAATAAGTCACTGAATTAACCAAGACTAGACACTTCACATTCTTTTTATTGAAGTTTATGTCTTAACTGATAGGATAGTATGATGTTGAACCATACATAAGTATTGATATGCTATTTTTTAACCTTCTTTTCCCCTATCATTACTGCTAATCTAGGACACTAAAAATAACCTACTTTCAACTTTCAATTTTCTCTCATCTGTTAAGGTATCAACGGTTAAGTTTTGATATTCATTTCATTATATTTTTCTCCACTTTAAGTATGTGTCAATTTTTGTCGATGTTAACATTCACAGAAATAACTGATCTAACATTTTGATGAATATTGTTAATAGGGTCCAATGTATTTTCACAGAGTTCAGCCAAAATTTAATCTATGTGTACAGTCTATTTTTAAAAAGGAATTTTATTTATTTATTTATGTATACAATAACTGGAGTGCAGGCCAGAGGTGTGGGGGTAGAGGGATGAGAGGCTCCACCAGACGCAGAGTGGGGAGCAGAATAGGCAGATCCCATACTGAAATACACTGCTAAGGGGAGCAGCAGATGAGACAGGTCTGCTGTGCCATGTGGGTCATCTCCCTGGTCACGGATTGAACTCATGCTGCAGTGGCTACAGATAGCTTTCTAGTGCTGAGACTTAACCCCTGTGTTACCAGGGAGGCCCCACACCCCACAATCTTTTTTTTTTTCTTCAATATAATCTCTTAACCCAAATAACCCGTTAAAAAGATCATAAAACATGCTATGATAAAAGTAGATTAACTGTGTGCCCTCCCTGGTGGCGCAGCGGGTTAAAGCACAGCACTGAGAATATAAAGCCGCTTCTGCATGAGTTCCATTCCCGCCTGCCCCGGAGGTGACCACATGGCGCGGCAGACCTCTCCTGACCTGCCCGCTGCTCCCCTCAGCAGTGTGCTTCATCCATCTGCCTGTTATGCTCCCCACTCTGTCTCTGGTGAAGCCTCTCACCGCCCCTGAGCCTCTGGCCTGTACCCCAGTTCTGTATACACAAATAAATAAATCTTTTTTTTTTTAGAAAAAGTAGATTAACTGTTACAACAAACAATGCTAAATCCTAATGACTTAATACAATAAAAGCTCCTTTTTTTGCTCATGTCATAGTCCAATGTAGGGATGGGAGTGAGGTGACTCTGTCTCTCTCTAGTGGCTTTCATTTCAATAAAGTTGCTAATTATGTTGCAATAATAATCCAATACTTTGTTTTTTAGTGGCAGTGTAGTAACTAAAAGATATTTAAAAATACAAGTTATAATTGTATTCAAAGTATATGCAATTTAAATGTTTTAATAAAAATGTAAATTAAATACAAATAAAAATAACTTAAAATGTTTTAACTTTTCTTTTAAAATACTTGAATTATCAAAATTAAAAGGAGATATGTATTATAGCCTTGAGTAACAAAATGTTGAGTCAAAATTATTTAAATGAAACTAATTTTTTTGAAAATTTCATTTTATGAATTTTTATAAAAATACGATTTGCAGTTCTAATGTTCAATGTCTATTTAGTTGCCAATGTCAACAATGGATATCATACTTCTACATGTTTACTAGTTTAAAGGTATTACGAGTTATTTATTATTTAGTTT